AAGCTGAGGGGCCTCATGCTTAAAAGCCATGGAGTGGCTGGACGTGAAAGCCACCCACGGCTGTAGAGAAAGATTGCAAAATGTCAGCCGGGAGAAGGGACATCAGGCTCCAATTCTTAAAAACACCAGGTTGAGTCCTTCCCTCCCTCTCTCAGTAGAATGCCTCAGTTAATGGGAGCCTAACCTCCCAATAAGAAGCATAATCTCTTTGTTCCTCAATCAAATAGGTCACAGCTGCTGAGTTCAGAGATCTATCTGTATATACCTTAAGGCGTAGTTGTGGCTTAGTAACAAGCTATGGTTCCTGCTTCTGTAATAAGAGTAATTAGCTAAGACATCTTGTGACTATTAGGGGAGACTTGAAACTTATACACATTGTACCCACGAGCTTTTCACAATGAATCATTGTAATCTATAGTATGAAAAAAAATAAAACGGGTGCTACTTTTCAGTCAGTGCCACTGGCTCACGGGAATGCTGATGGTCCCTGACTTCCCCACACCCTTTTACTTACTTTTTTGGTGCCATGCTCTGTCTCTCCCATCTCTTGCAGCGCACACTTCCAGGGACCCAGTTATATCAGGGCATTGCGACACCACAATAGGTACATGCATTCTGAGGCTGTCTCCTTGGGGAGGAAATCCATTTCAGTAGAATTAAGGCTTTAAAACATAAATCCCATATTCTTTGTTAAGTCTAGAGAAGCCAAACATTTGAACCCTACTAAAAAAGAAAATTACAGAGAGGCCAGTGACCCATCTGCTATGCAGAATTTGGTGCTTGGGAACCTGGATCATGATATATTCTAAGCCAGTTTGTCAGACAAAGTGAGCTGTAGTGTTAACAAGATATTCTGTGACTTGCAAGTCTCTTTGGGCAAAACAGGTCACTTATAAGCATTACTTTATTTTGTTAAACATTTATTCATTCACTTAAATATTTATTGGGCCTAAACTTTGATACTGGGCCATTATGTAGGTCTTCATTGCCACCTGGTAAATGTGTGAAAGTGTCTTCTGATTGTCACTGGGCATTTGGGTGTGCCTCATGGAATGTTTCAATGGTTGTACTTTTATATAGGATGCTATAGTATGTTACATTTTTAACGTATTTTCAGTGTGCTAATAAATTTATATCAGAATACAAATGCATCAACAGTGTTTGTCTCTCGGATAGTAGTTCAACAGTTGAATTTGTTTTTTTTCTTTATATTTTATGTATTTTCTACTTTTATACTTAAGCATATATTACTTTTCTAATGATGAAACTTTTTTTTTTTTTTAAGACAGAGTCTCACTCTGTTGCCAGGCTAGAGTGCCGTGGCATCACGCTCGCTCACAGCAACCTCAAACTCCTGGGCTCAAGCGATCCTCCTGCCTCAACCTCCCGAGTAGCTGGGACTACAGGCATGGCGCCACCATGCCAACTAATATTTTTCTATTTCCAGTAGAGATGGTGTCTCACTCTTGCTGAGGCTGGTCTTGAACTCCTGACCTCAAGTGATCCTCTTGCCTTGCCCTCTCAGAGTGTTAGATTACAGGTGTGAGCTGCCATGCTGGCCTGAAAAATTTTTTTTTTTTTTTTTTTTGAGACAGAGTCTCACTTTTTTGTCCGGCTAGATGAGTGCCGTGGCGTCAGCCTAGCTCACAGCAACCTCAAACTCCTAGGCTCGAGCGATCCTTCTGCCTCAGCCTCCGAGAGCTGGGACTACAGGCATGAGCCACCATGCCGGCTAATTTTTTATTATATATCAGTTGGCCAATTAATTTCTTTCTATTTATAGTAGAGACGGGTCTCGCTGTTGCTCAGGCTGGTTTTGAACTCCTGACCTTGAGCAATCCGCCCGCCTCGGCCTCCCAAGAGCTAGGATTACAGGCGTGAGCCACGCGCCCGGCCTGAAAAAATATTTTAAACAAGAATTTGGCAGTATAAAAATAAAGTTGGGGTATCCAACATCAAATGTTACCCTTGTATTTATTTCTGGACTTAGACTATGTTTGGGAGAAGATCACACTTCGTAGCACCGCAGAGCAAATGAAATTCCATCCATCCTCTTCCTCCAAATCTCTCTCTAATGGCAATTCTGATGATTTCCCAAGTTCTGTTATTCTTTATACTTACCATCACTGTAACAGTGGAAAAATCACAACTGGACATCTCCTTTCTGCCTGTTTCATGCTGGGTTCATCCAAGATTAGTCCTTTAAGAACTGTTGCCTTGCCCAATTTCCCACTTGTTCAATTTTTTAGAAGCAATCACTGGTAGCCATCTCTAAGGCTACCTTGGAGTTTATTGGCAGTTAAATCTATTTTTCCTTTTGTTTCTTACATGCTTTCAACTTTCAGTAGAGTAGTATAATTGCTTTATGGTACTCACTGGGGATGTTTAAACATGATTAGCTTATGCTTGGAAATGTTAACAAACACATTTAATAAATTTTCACAGTGTGCCTCAAGAGTGATAAGACAGTGGGAAGTCTTGCAGCGTATGAATTCATGAGACCCCTGAGATTATATATGAATTCACCCAAAGGGAACAATATACTTGGATCTAATATCTGTTGTAGTTGAGTGAACTAATTACAGTGAGAAGGTGAGGAATCTAAAGTGAGAAGCCCCATCACCTGATCTCACTGATCTCAATTAACCTTCTAACAAAACAGTTCTTTTCTTCTTCTTCTTTTTTTTTTTTTTTTTTAGACAGAGTCTCACTTTGTTGCTCAGGCTAGAGTGAGTGCCATGGCATCAGCCTAGCTCACAGCAACTCAATCTCCTGGCTCAAGTGATCCTACTGCTCAGCCTCCTGAGTAGCTGGGACTACAGGCATGCGCCACCTGCCTGGCTAATTTTTTCTATATATATTTTTAGTTAGCCAATTGATTCTTTCTATTTTTAATAGAGATGGGGTCTCACTCAGGCTGGTTTCAAACTCCTGACCTCGAGCAATCCTCCCACCTCGGCTTCCCAGGGTGCTAGGATTACAGGCGTGAGCCACCACTCCCGGCCAAGTTCTTTTCTTCTGATCAGTCTTGTTTGACAGACAATATCCACTTGATTGTAATAGAATTGGTGTAATTATGCCAATTTATTTTATCACCCAAGCGGTTTAATTAACTAAATTTAGTGTAATTTATGTATGTCAGAGTATGAGATACCATGCTAAAATACATAATTTTCACAAACTAGGTACAAATCTAATGCACCATTTTTTAGTTTTTAAGATGATGGCAGGGCCGGGCGTGGTGGCTCACGCCTGTAATCCTACCATTCTGGGAGGCCGACATGAGAGGATCGCTCCAGGTCAGGAGTTGGAAACCCATCTGAGCAAAAGCGAGACCCCAGTCTCTACTAAAAATAGAAAGAAATTAGCCAGGCAACTAAAAACATATAGAAAAAATTATCCGGGCATGGTGGCACATGTCTGTAGTCCCAACTACTCGGGAGGCTGAGGCAGGAGGATCCCTTGAGCCCAGGAGTTTGAGGTTGCTGTGAGCCAGGCTGACGCCACGGCACTCACTCTAGCCCAGGCAACAGAGTGAGACTCTGTCTCAAAAAAAAAAAAAAAAATGGCAAATATATCTTGCTCCAATTTATCTGCTAATTTTCCCTCTTCCAATTTCTATTCCAATGAATTCTATTTAGCTTTTAAGTTTTCACAATGTTTGTTCTTATAAGTAATTTTAATATAATTCTTTGTTTTTATATCATGTTCTGATTACAAAAAGAATACTTGCTTTTTTGAAAAAATGTTGGAATTAGACGAAGAAAATAAGTCACTTACAGAATAATAATTTTTATTAATATTTTGGTGTATTTCTGATGTTTTTTCTGACCTTTAAATTGACTTTCTTCTACAAAATTGGGATTGCATTATATATAGTCTGTATTCTTTCCTTTCTTTTTTAGAATTATATTGTGAGCATTTCCCACATCTTAAATTTTTTTTATCTTTCCTTTCTTTTAACAGGATTTTGCATGTGGACCACATCTTAAAATTTTTAAGAATACAAAATTTTTGTTGGTATATTATACCAATTAAATGGGCATATGTGAGAAGCATTTTCAGTGAGCATTTTTGTGTCTTTTTTGCTGTCAATGTTATTTTTTTAAGATTAACATATATGTGCTTAAGATTCATCTCCAATTAATTGTCCATATAAACTTTATGTCAACTTCTTTACATAAAGAAGTTATGTAAAGGCCGGGCGCAGTGGCTCATACCTGTAATCCTAGCACTCTGGGAGGCCAAGGCGGGAGGATCGCCTGAGCTCAGGAGTTCGAGACCAGCCTGAGTAAGAGCGAGACCCTGTCTCTACTAAAAATAGAAAGAAATTAATTGGCCAACTAAAAATATATAGAAAAAATTAGCCAGGCACAGTGATGCATGCCTGTAGTCCCAGCTATTTGAGAGGCTGAGGCAGGAGGATCTCTTGAGCCCAGGAGTTGGAGGTTGCTGTGAGCTAGGCTGACGCCACGGCACTCTAGCCTGGGCAACAGAGCAAGACTCTGTCTCAAAAAAAAAACAAAAACATAGAAGCTAGCAAGATAATTTAGGGAGAGGTTGATGGTCTCAATTAAGATAATTATTTTTCTAAGTTGTTAAGTGTACATAAAATATTTTTATTAAGCATATTTTTGATAACACCTCTTCTTTTTTCATCTGTTGTGAATATCTGAATCTTTGAAAAGAAGGTAGTAGTAGAAACAGAAAAAGAGGAGAAAAATGGAACTAGTGACAGGAGATAGCCCCAGGGCTGCAATAAATTGAGAGTTGTTATTAACCATCCATAGCCTTGAGTAAAGTTTGTAATAATGATGGCAATATTTGTAACAATTGAATAAGAAAAATTTAAATTGCTTTTATAAAAAGAATACATCCATTGGCATCAAGAAAGACAATGTCTCTTCTTAATTCCTTGGTACTAAGAAAAAGCCTGTTTTGGGTATTTCTTTGCTATTTATTGTCAGTCCTCTCTCCTCTTATTCTCTATCTTCCTAAAGTCATGGGAATAAAGAAGAATTCTCCTGCAGAGGAATACAACTTGCTGTGGATTGGTTTCTAGATAAAGGCCATAAAGATATTACTGTATTTGTGCCTGCATGGAGAAAGGAGCAATCCCGCCCTGACGCACCAATTACAGGTACTATCTAAAATAAGACATTTCTTCTCATCTAGAGGCAAAACTAACAAGATAGTTTGGGGAGGGGATGATGGTCTCAATTTAGATAATTATTTTTCTAAGTTGTTAAGTATATATAAACTTTTCTTTTCTTTTTTTTTTTTTTTTTTTGTTTGACAGAACTCGGCGCTACTCGTTGCTAGGGCTACGAGGGCCGTGCAAGTCAGCCAGTTCACAGCAACCTCAAACTCTTGGGCCAAGCGATCTCTGCCTCAGCCTCCAGGTAGCTGGACTAAGGCCACATGCAACACAGCCTGCCTATACGCATATCTTTAAAATGATCACAATATACATATTAGTGTTGCACATGGCAGTTAATGGAAAAACTTCAATTCATAAGGATATAAAGCACAAAGCTTTTATAAAGCACAAAGGATAAAGCCAAAAGGATTCTTTTCTATGACTTGAGACTTCAGACTAAAGGGAGATGAATCGGTTAGAAATGGACTGAATTTTTCAAGAGACTAAAGACATCATGTAACAATGGAATCTCATTCTGCACCAGTAATAATCTGGGGCTTTGCAAAATCGGGGTGAAAATAAAGAGAGAGAAAGTCCCAGCAGCAGAGCCACTTATCCATGAAGGCATAAGTAGGTTCAGCCTGATGCTGATAATACTGTTAAAGTCATGGAAAGTCTTTATTTCCACATCAGAAGAAAAATAAATATAATAAAAGTGAATAGAAAGTGATATACCTAGCTGATTATTTTTGGCTTTATAACCACTGTAGTTGTAGAATAAATTTTTCTATTTTTTATGAGTAAGGGCCGGAAGGCAAAAAGTGCTTAAGGTCCCAAATCATCGATCGACCAAGTGAGTAGGGTCATTACATTCACTATACATTACATGTAAGTATGTGACTATACACCATTTGAAGAGCATATAGGACTCCAACTCCTCTGAGTATCAGCTCTTGCCTGATGTGCCTAATGAATGGCAGGCTGACTGTTATGTCAGCTTTTGCCATCTGCATGAATAGCTCATGCCCCACCAGCAACTTTCTCCCCCAGGAATTAGGACGCAAAAGGAAAGGTCATACTTAATGTTATAGTTTAATTACCTTAGTTCTGCTTTCAATCTTCAGCAGAGCCCAAATGTAAGTCCAGGAGATGGTATATTCTTTCTGACAGACACATCTCCAGCATACGCTGGTTTTTTGTTTTGTTTGTTGTTTGTGTGTTGTGTGGTTTGGAAGAGTCTCACTTGCCTCCTGCAGAGCTGGCCTTGGCATCACCTAGTTATCACAACAACCCTCAGACTCCTGGCTCAACGCGATTCCTCTCCCTCAGCCTCCCGAGTACTGGACCTACAGCATGCAACATGCCGCTCAAGTCTAAACCGCTTTCCTTCGGCCAATTAATTTCTTTCTATTTATAGTAGAGACGGGGTCTCGCTCTTGCTCAGGCTAGTTTCAAATTCCTGACCTCAAGCAATCCGCCCGCCTCGGCCTCCCGGAGTGCTAGGATGACAGGCATGAGCCACCGCGCCTGGCTGACAATACCTTCTTGATTTTTCAGATCCCAGTGACTGTCTCTGAACTACAGTGTCTGTGGTAGGCTAAATGATATTCCCCCAAATATGTCTACATCCTAATCTCTGGAACCTGTGAATACATTATCTTACATGGAAAAAGAGACTTTGCAGATGTGATTATGGATCTTGAGATGGGAGAGATTACCCTGGATTATTAGGGTGGGTTCCATGTAATCACAGTAGAAAGAGATGTGATAGCAGAAATAAGAAAATGGAGTGATGTAAGAAAGGGGCCTAAGCCAGGGAATGCGGGTGGCCCCTGGAAGCTGAAAAGGGCGAGGAAACAGATTCTTCTCTTAAGCTTGCAGAAAGAACACAGCCTTGCTGTGATTTTGGACTTCTGACCTCTTAAATTTGTAGGAAAAGAAACTGGTGTTGTTTTAAGCCACTAAATATGGGGTAATTTGTTACAGCAACAAAGGGAGACTAATACCTATAGTGGCTTCATACTTTATTCCATATTCTCTCATATAATTGTTTGTATTTCATGTCAGAGAGCCTTAGGAATCCCTTCTTATGTTTACCAAATCAATTGTCATCCAGCCTTGGCTTAAAAATTCCCAGTAATCAGGAGACTATTTTCTATTGAGTCCATCGTTGCTTGATGGACTTACTGGAATCCTTAGACTGTAAGCAATCAGAACAAAGTAAAAAATCCTTACTCTAGTAAGTTTCAAATTAGATTATCCCATTGTATTTGAGGGAAAATTACTGATTTGTATATTTAATAAGTTATTGATGAGTCCCACTTATTGTACAATAACATTTCACATGGTCTAAATTCAGTGCTACTGTCTGCTTATGAATTTTTTTGCCATTGATCTAAATTCAGTTTGTTTTCCCTGTTACTTAGCTGTAACTTTATCATGATATTGGTATTTCTTAAACAGACTACATATTAATATCTGTTGTTCCTCAGCATGTTGAATAAGCCTACATTGAAATTATAATGCTTTGTTTGCCACTGGCAGCATTTGTTTAACATTTACAGTAGTGGTGTACCTGTGACACATACTTATATATGCTAAGATACTAAAGAGTACATGATGGGTATAAGACCACCAGGGCTTAGGGACCCCATTTCTGAGGCCGTGGGAGGAGAGGAGATGAAGGAATGCTGCCTGAGCAGGAGCTGGAGATAAGGGCAAAAGTCAACTGCCTAGTTGGGGGACATTCTAGTGATCTGGAAAAGCAGACTCCCGCCTTAAAGCCTGAGGGGCCTCATGCTTAAAAAGCCATGGAGTGGCTGGACGTGAAAGCCACCCACGGCTGTAGAGAAAGATTGCAAAATGTCAGCCCGGGAGAAGGGACATCAGGCTCCAATTCTTAAAAACACCAGGTTGAGTCCTTCCCTCCCCTCTCTCAGTAGAATGCCTCAGTTAATGGGGAGCTAACCTCCCAATAAGAAGCATTAATCTCTTTGTTCCTCAATCAAATAGGTCACAGCTGCTGAGTTCAGAGATACTATCTGTATATACCTTAAGGCGTAGTTGTGCTTAGTAACAAGCTATGTGTTCCTGCTTCTGTAGATAAAGAGTAATTAGCTAAGACATCTTGTGACTATTAGGGGAGACTTGAAACTTATACACATTGTAACCCACGAGCTTTTCACATGAAGTCATTGTAATCTATAGTATGAAAAAGAAAATAAAAACGGGTGCTACTTTTCAGTCAGTGCCACCTGGCTCACGGGAATGCTGATGGTTCCCTGACTTCCCCACACCCTTTTACCTTACTTTTTGTGCCCATGTCTCTGTCTCTCCCATCTCTTGCAGCGCACACTTCCCAGGGACCCAGTTATATCAGGGGCATTGCGAACCCACAATAGGTACATGCATTCTGAGGCTGTCTCCTTGGGGAGGAAAAATCCATTTCAGTAGAATTAAGGCTTTAAAACATAAATGCCCCCATATTCTTTGTTAAGTCTAAGAGAAGCCCAAACATTTGAACCCTACTAAAAAAGAAATTACAGAGAGGCCAGTGACCCATCTGCTATGCAGAATTTGGCTTGGGAACCTGGATCATGATATATTTCTAAGCCAGTTTGTCAGACAAAGTGAGCTGTAGTGTTAACAAGATATTCTGTGACTTGCAAGTCCTTTGGGCAAAAACAGGTCACTTATAAGCATTACTTTATTTTGTTAAACATTTATTCATTCCTTAAATATTTATTGGGCCCTAAACTTTGATACTGGGCCATTATGTAGGTCTTCATTGCCACCTGGTAAATGGTGAAAGTGTCTTCTGATTGTCACTGGGCATTTGGTGTGCCTCATGGAATGTTTCAATGGTGTACTTTTAATATAGGATGCTATAGGTATGTTACATTTTTAAACGTAATTTTCAGTGTGCTAATAAATTTATATCAGAATACAAATGCATCAACAGTGTTTGTCTCTGGATAGTAGTTCAACAGTTGAATTTGTTTTTTTTCTTTATATTTTATGTATTTTCTACATTTTATACTATAAGCATATATTACTTTTCTAATGATGAAAACTTTTTTTTTTTTTTAAGACAGAGTCTCACTCTGTTGCCCAGGCTAGAGTGCCGTGGCATCAGCCTCGCTCACAGCAACCTCAAACTCTTGGGCTCAAGCGATCCTCCTGCCTCAGCCTCCCAGGTAGCTGGGACTACAGGCATGCAACACCATGCCCTGCCTATTAGGCATATTTTTGATAAAGTGATCCAAATATAACCATCATTGTTTTGTTGCACATGGCAGTTAAATGGAGAAAACTTCAATTCAGTAAAGGATAAAGCACAAAGCTTTATAAAGCACAAAGGATAAAGCACAAAGGAGTTCTTTTCTATTTGACTGTAGACTTCAGACTAAAGGGAGATGAATCCGGTTATGAATATGGACTGAATTTTTCAAGAGACTAAAGACATCATGGTAGACAATGGATCTCATTCTGCACCAGTGAAGTAATTGTGGGGCTTGCAAATCATGGGGTAAAATAAAGAGAGAGGAAAGTCCCATGTCAGTCAGAGCCAACTTATCCATGAGGCATAGTAGGTTCAGCTCTGATGGCTGATGATACTGTTAAAGTCCCATGGAAAGTCTTTATTTTCACATCAGAAGAAAAAATAAAATATAATAAAAGTGAATAGAAAGTGATATACCTAGCTTGATTATATTTGGCTTTATACCACTGTAGTTGTAGAATAAAATGTTTACTATTTCTTTATGGAGTAAGGGGGCCCGTGAAGGCAAAAGTGCTTAAGGTCCACAAAAGTCATGATGCGATCCAAGTGGAAGTAGGGTCATTACATTCACTTATAACAGTATCTGAAGTATGTGCTATTTACACCATTTGAGAGCATATAGGCTCCAATCCTCTGAGTATCAGCTCTTGCCTGATGTGCCTAATGAATGGCAGGCTGAGCTGTATGTGCAGCTATTTGCCATCTGCTGAATAGGCTC